GGAGTGGGCTCCGCTGTGTGGTTGTCGCGCGCTCGGGCGGTAAACAACCCTCCATAAGTTGCTGTTAATGGCAGTGCTAAACTCGTGCAAATCTTTGAGCCACAGTGACCCGGGGACCGAGCCAGGAGTCCTCTGTCTGTCCCTTACATAAATTCTCTACTTTTGTCACAGTCTAGTCTACTCCCTCACGCCGCGCACGACTGGCCGAGCGTCTTGGGAGAAAGTGTCGGGACCCCTGAAAGCGTGTCAAAGACTCTGGTCCTCAGGCTTGCCGCCTACCGCGCTGCAGGCGCTTCCAAGCCCGATCCGCCCCTCACAAAAGCTTGTGACTCCAAGGCACACGAATAAAAGTGATGCCTTCGAGCTGAACATAATCTTTCACCAAAGCTCATCTCTAGTCTTCGAAACGCAGGTTCGCAAAAGATGGTGTTTTTAGCAATTTGATTAATGATGCCTATGAAAGCACAAATTTGGGCTCCCGCAAAGTATACAGCCATGTTGAAAAATGTCGGATTTGATTCTTACTGAAATACACCAATGATGAGCTGTAGTGATATTTCCCCATGGGAGATGCTTTGAAAGGCACCTTTTAAAGTTTCCCTTTTCTTGAGCGAGACCAAAAAACTTTGGGAAAATAAAAGGCTGTCAAAGGACCATACTGGATACATGTCCTATCCTCGCATCAAGAAAAGATCTTTGCTGAATTTCAGTCTCCAGCTTGACCCCACAAAAATAAGAACCGCTTCCTCCTTTGTGTCTGGAAAAACTGCAATAGTATAAGTGCAGCCTCCTGAAGTCTCAGTGTGTCTGTCTGGTTGTCTCTCATCTATAGTGTCCGTTAGTAGGATTCCAGCCTACTTTGGGTGGACCTGGGATTATGTTGACATGTCAAAGGAGTGCCCACATTTGCAAAAGAGAATTTGGAAAAAAGAGACATGTGGTATTTCTGTCTAAGAAAATGGCAAGTCAGTTAACCCCTGCCCTAGGATAGATGCTATGAAAGGTATGATTTATAAAATCTAACAGTAAACTAGGCGTTGTATACATCATAAAAATAGACCCCATCCCTGCCCCCTTAAGAATTTACTCTGTGTTAGAAACAGAGCAAAAAAATTTTGGATGAATGGCTCCTTTTTGAATGCTCCCATTTGGATGAAAAAGCAATTGGTATTAGTTGTCCTCAAAATATTGCATATAAATCAGAAATAATCATTAGCATTACCTCTACTGCCATGGGTTTATAAACACAGTGGGTTCACAAGTGCAAAGAGCAGCTATAGTTTCTGAAAGGGACTGGAGGCAACATGAGTGTGGATGCAGAGAGAGTGCTGACTGGGGTTGCTATCCACATTTCAGCTACCTAGTCACATATGCAGGACAGTCCCCACATTTATAACCAAATGATAATGCAGAAAACCATTTGGGATTTTGATGATAGATAGTGTTAAGCTATCGCATAAGTCTTTCCAAAACAAGATTTTGCTCTAGATAGAAATGTGAAAACAAACAAGATGATGCATTTGAAAGTGCTTTAAGTAAAAACATGACATCTAAAAATGTATTGAAAAGCATTAACATGCACATTAAATAAAATTTGGGAAATTCTGAAATTAAGAGATTGAAAAATCCTCATGTCCCTTTTTTATGCATATAGTTTGAGATACTGTAATAGGCTTACAATTTTTATAACTTTATAATTGAATAAAAATGGCATTTTGTAATCTGTATTTTTCACTTATTATTACGTGATAGCATTTCCCCTTATTATTATGGATCAGCCTAAACATCATTTAAAATGCAGCATAATTCCATGCAACTAATGTGTATTAATATGCTTAACCATATCTCTGCTTTGGGGTGTTTTCCATTCTGTTTAATCTTATAAATAAGTAATATAATATAATCTTATAAATAATGCTGCAATATCTTGTATTTATAGTTTTGTTTTCTTTCTCTTTTTTTTTTTTGATGTTTAGAGTTATTCCCTTGGGGTGGAAACCAACAAGTAGAATTACTGGGTTAGAGGGAATAAACATTTGATACATTATTTTTTAAAAATGATAATATCAGTTTACCTGTCATCACACCAGTTGCTAGCATTGGAGATTGTTACTTTTTAAAAAGGAAATCACTTATAAGGTGGGTGAAATGGTAGCTCATATTGTTTTAATTTGAATTTTTGTTCACTAGTGAGATAAAACATTTTTATGTACATTTGCTGACAATACATTCTGTAAAATGTCTTTTTATGTTCTTTGCTTATCTATTGGATTCTTTGTGTTTTTCCTTGTTAATAAGTGTGACTTGTTTATATAATAAAGATATTAAAACTTTGTCATATTTGTTGCAAATTTTTTCCCAGTGTATAGATGAAAAGCACCAGTTAAACCTGATTTTCCTGTTTTGAAAGGTGTGAAAATTTGTCACAATGAGATTTGTAGTGCTGTTTAAACGGGAGCTGTTGAGACACAAATGTCACCATGATCACTTTTAACCTTCTTCCATAAGATCCCGTGTGTGTGTGTGTGTGTGTGTGTGCACGCGCGTGTGTATAAAACCTTATATGCCCTTTGGAAGAGAGATCTTAATTAGTTCTCTTATATTAAACTGGAAGAGAGCATTCAAACTAGTTCCATTTTAGGTAGCACCCTTAAACAATGCCTTATAAAACATTGTTCCCTACTGTAGGGGAGAGAATCTAAGGCAAATCAATGTGGTAAAATAATTTGGAAAAAGTAACAGTGAAAGACTAACAGTGCTGATCACTTTGTACCCAAGACATATGATTTGACTGCAGCAACATGGAATTAGAGAGACAGTGAGATGGTTCATAGAGGAATTTTACTTTATGTTTCCTACAGTGGAGAAGGATCTGGCAAATATTAGTACTTGTGAACAGGGAGAATGTCAGGCCAGAAAAACGTTATTTTCTAAACATAGGTTAACCAAATCTCCTTAGTTCTAAAAGTTGTTCCAAGATTGAAGCTCTCTGGAGGAGACCCTCGTTACTGAATTGCACCAGATGCTGCAGCTTGTCTGACATATATTTAAACTTTCATCATCCTGGACAACTTAATGATATAGAATAGTTGTTTAGTTTAGGTCAGGTTTCCATAGGCAAAATAAAGCCAAGAGGGGGTACAGACATCTAGATGGTTCAAGCAAGAAGTAGAGACTTTTTATTTGGCCTGAACTCACCAGATGGTAGCTTTAACACTCATAGATTCCTATCTCTCAACGTTTTATTTTTATTTTCAGGACAAGTTACCTCAGAAAGCTAAAGTTGTTTTGCATATCCAGCGAGAACATCCGTAATGTTTGGACTCTGAACCAAGAGTCTGAAATGCAGATTTTTAAAACAACACATAAGAGGTAATAAAACCTACAGTATTTCGTATTTGTTTTGCCAGTTTAGCAAACCAAAGCATTTCAGCTGATATTTACACCTAGAAACTAAGGTAGATGTTTAAACACAGTCACAGAAGCCATACAATGAAGAAATATGCCTTTAATGAAGTTTACCTTTAGAAGGAATTCCTGTGAATCCTGTTTTAAGATAGCAGTTATTTGAATTGACTAGTCAATAGTAACAAAAACTTACCTGTATCTTTCTTCACATACATGATCATCGATACTCAGAGTTCAACTTATACTAAAATAAAAGTGAATGACAGAAGTATGGTTTTATTTAGCTTAAAAATTAAATGGTTGCATTAAATACGGACATTATTCAAGAGAATAGAGCCTAAGAGAAAAAGAAATCAGCATAAAAGCACTTTTATTGTTGCCCAGTGTTTAAATTGCCCTTTAAGTATTGAATCAAAAGTCTTACGAGAAAAACTCTCATCATGTTGGCAAAAAATGTGGTGCTACCCCTGATATTTAAAAATCATGTTTGCGATGATGATTCCTTTCTCTGGGTTTGGACCAAAATAAAATCATGCACGATGAACAAAGCTTTCTACACTATGCAGGAATAAGGGCTGCCCTTTGATGTGTGGCTGCAGCTACCGTTTGCAGATGAAGGATTTGCTTCTCGGATTCTTTACTTCCGTGCTACTCAAAACCCCTGCTGGAGAAAGCAACCATCGAATGCCTGACTGCTGCACACAGAACAGGTCTGTTTGCTGCTTTTGTTTTCTAGCAGTCTGCAGCGAAAGTAATTAGAGCAAATACGTGGTTCAATTAGGCTCCTAGAGCGTCCCTGTTATATTAGGAGTCAACTGAAAATTAACTCAGTTAAAAATCAAGCATTCCTTCCCACCTTCAAAAGAGAAAACTTTCATTTGGAAATGACTTTTAGTATGCAAACAGAAAACATTGAAATGTGCTAAGTTTCACATTAAATTTCAATGGGTTCATTTAAGTACACTTTTCCTATGTTAATCGGAGTGAACAATTGAAAAAATTAGCTTAATGCTATTCATTGTTATTATCAACAGAAGCATTGTTCTTAGTGTTAAAAGATTATTAGTTCCTACAGTCTTGTCTTCAAAAAGTGAGATTTTTGATTTTGTAAATTAAATAGCATCATTGCTTGGTTGAATTTGCTATTTTAAAGGATTTAGGATTATAGCCTCACTTTTTTTTTAGGTCTAGAAAATCAGCTATTATATTTAGGATATGATATGGATTATATTTATTGTTGATTCTTCTTTCTCCACTGCTCCCATAGTCCTGAAATATCTGTCAGATTGAATCCTTCCTTTCATTTCCACATTTGCCATCATGGTTCATGCCCTAATGAACTCCACCAAGATTAGTCTCTTAAACTGGCCTCTCTCTGCTTGTCTCTTTTCCATAATGTCAGTAGAATATTTCCCCTCTTATATCACTTTCATTATACTATTCTTTACTCAAAGCCCTACATTTTTTTCTGCTATATCAGAACTAAACCCCTAACCATAGCACTTAAGTTCCCTCTTTCTCAGTTGACACCACAACCAACTCTTTCTTACTCCCTTCCTGCACACAACCCCTTCTTCTAAATTTACCACTCCCATTCTATTATAATAAATTATTATTGCCCACACCTCCAGTTAGATTGGTCCCTTTGTGGCATTCTGTACATAATTTATTCATTTACACCTTTACTTAGGCCGTTTCTCATGTCTAAAATACCCTCTCCTTCCTGAAGAGTAAGATCAAGACTCACTCAGGAAAGTTTCCCTCACATCACTACAATCACTGTCTGATTTTCTTAAGCTTTAGCATGTAGGAAGAAGTAAAGATTTAGTTGGTACTCATCATTACAACCTGTCTTGGAATGATGAATACTTTTCTACCAGTTGGTAAATAGCTACTGCCCCAGCCCCCAAGTGCTCTCGCCCACCCAGTTGTCCAGGCTACTTCAGCCCCTCCCGCAGGACCCCCCACCTCTCCATCATTCAACAGCTACAAGGTTAACTACTGGCACAGCAGAGAGCTTTCAGACCCTGCTGTTGCCCTGTGGCTAGCATATATTATGATTGGTTGGCTTGCACCACACAGGTTGTTAAATAGTTTAAATGGTCACTCCTGGGTATGGGTAATCCCTGAGTGGTGAACATTGTTCTAGTCTTTAAACTCCTTGAGGATTAAAAGTGTGTCTTAATTCATCTTTATACCCCCAAAATCCTTAGTGTGGTGCTTAGCAATCACCAATAAATGTTTGCTTCAAAGAAGGAAAGAGAGGAATGGAAAAGAAGGGAAAGGAAGGAAAAAATGTAGAGTGGAAGGAAGCAAAGGAATTGAAGAAGGAAGGAAAGGAGGGAAGGGAGGAAAGATGTCCAAGACAGGTCTAAATGGTCAGAATAGACTGCTTTCTCCTCCAGGTCACTTCTAAGGGGGGCCTAAGTTCTCTATGACTGATGGCAAGGCTTGGTGACTTCTTCTTGACTTAACACTTCTCCTTCAAAGGGATCGTGTTCATTTTTTCACTCATCTATCATAGCTCAGCTGATATTTTTCTCCATGAGGACAGGGCCATGGTCTGCCTTACTTGCCATGTATCCCCAGTGCCTAGAGCAGTGCCTGACACATATAAAAAGCCAAGCGCACTGCCATCAAGTCGATTTTGACTCATAGTGACCACCTTTGGGTTTCTGAGCCAGTAAATCTTTATGGAAATAGATTGCCCAGTCTTTCTTCTGCGGAGTGGCTGGTGGGTGTGAACCGCCAACCTTGTGGTTAGAAGTCAAATGCCTTAGGCACTATGCCACCAGAGCTCCTTGACACATAGTATAAATAATAAATATTTGTTGAATTAGTTACTGAAAATGGGAAAAAATATATTTTGAAGTTAAAATAGAGATATCTCCTAGACCCCTATAGCTCTTGAAAGGAATTCCCTTAAAAATCTCCACAAAAGTCTTCATCTGCTTGATTTAATTAAACATACTCTTTCTCAAGCACCAACATTTAAAATATGTCCAGATATATTTTATAATACTGTTTCTTGATTGGTTTTATTTTCCAGCTTTTGTCTAATTCTTAGCATTACAACACCATTACTTTCCACTATGTTTTAATTGCAAATATACAGAAATTACTTCCATATATTGTGCATTAAAAGGGTTACTTTTGGCAAACCTGTAACTCTAATCAACATTTATTTATCACATTTCTGTTGGCAAAATGTGTTCTAACTAACTGCCTTACAAACTGCTTTTGAAATACAACCATTTTTAGTTCTGTGAGTTTCTTTGTTCAGCCTGTAGTTGTTCATGATTGTAAGTACTTTGGAGTTTGCCTCAAGAGTGGATGCTTTATCTTCCCAACCATTTCGTAAGCCCCCCCCCCAGGGCAAGGATTGTGTTTTTCTACTTTTGTTCGTCCCTTCATGTGCCTACTACTGATTGAACTCAATAACTACTTGTTGAATGAATGACTTTACCTAAGAGCAAAATACTACTTAAGATGGTAAGTCTAGAAGACAATGCATTATTATTTTTTTTTTTTTGCACACAATGAAATGTCATTCAATGGACTCTTTTGTATTTAGGGTCCCTATTGTTGAAAGTCGTAATAGAGACCACATTTTGTTTAGGCTTCCTAATCATTACTCCTCGTCAATAATGTTCACATGGAGTTTTTTAAAAATAGCAACCAAACTAAGGGGCAATGAATCATAGTTATCAAGGTATCAGGAGCATAGCGACCCCTCCTTGGGTTGCGGAGGCGATATCACTACGGAAGTAGATTGCCCCATATTCCTTCTGAGGAGTGGCTGGTGGGTTTGAACCACCAGCCTTCTGGTTAGCAGTCAGATGCCTTAGGTACTATACCGCCAGAGCTCCCAAAATATTTCATTGTTCATTAATTATGTTTTTTCTTTTCTCCTCCTCCTGTGAAGAATGTAATTTCCTTTTAAGAGATAGGATGCTTGTGCTTTTTGACTTTTCTCTGTTTATTTATTCATGATCATTTCCACATTTGGGAGTAAAGAATCAAGAAGGGAAAACTTGCATTTTTTATCAAGGAACAACAAGGAAATTTAGACTGTGTTTCATAGTGAACTGCTTTCTTCCTTCTGTGACAATGCATTAAAAATACTTAGGGTCATATTTCTTAACCTGACTGATTGTTACATGGGCAGTTTGTGATTATTGTTTAAAGTGCACATATGTACTTTATATACTCGAATGCATATAGGATATATTTTGCAATTTTAAAAACAAGATGATACTTTAAGGAAAAATCGAGTCCCAAATTAGAAGCAGCATTTTCACACTGATTCAAAATCAAGAACCAATTATAAACCATTTGTTCTTTAGTAATAATTAGCATTCAGAAAGGCATAAGAAGGGCATTTGAATGTGGTGTTTAAGAAATAGTTACTTTTGCATCAGAAAAGGATATCCTTTGGGAAATAAATTGGTGCTTTCAGAATTAAAAATCAAAACAAAACTTACCAGCAAAAGATGTTTTTAAAGATTGCTTCAAGGTCTGCCTGAAGATTTGTGTCACATGGTTCAGCATTGCCTTGGAATCTTTGAAGTATTATAAAATCGAAGCTGAGAGCACTCCAAAAAGTAAGACATGTAAACTGAGAAATCCTATTCAAAGTACCTAATAGTACAAGCTGATATTTACCATCAAAAGATTTGCTTTCCTCTTATAGTTTGTACATTTTATATAATTTTACCCTGTGTGAATGCACATTACAATATAATTGTGGAGTCTTTTGGTGTAGATACATTTATCAACAACAAGATTGTAAATTTTTTGAGGACAGAGATAATCTGTTATGTGTCTTTCATACTCCTTGCATAGCCTAGCTCTGTGTTAGTCACCTAATACTTTTGCTTGATTTGCAAATGCATACATGTCACATTCTGATAGCTTGTGACTCCTTTGTCTGATCCACTTTACACCCAAAAGAAGTGCTGGAGCATATAAAGATCACAGTCTCCTCTCTTATAATATATATGATCTGGAGGCATTTATCACTATTAATTGTGAGTTTTAGGATGTTTGTACAATTAAACTGATTGAAATATAAATTTGAAGCCATGTTGTGTTTTGAAGATCTTTTTTAAAAAGCAATTCTGAAAGTTTTCAGACATCCAGGTTAAGTTGACTCTTTGGTATTTTAACTCTAACCTTTAAAAAATAAATAAGTAAATAAAAGCTTATTCAGTTTACTGGA